GTCAAATATGAAAAATAAACTTTCTCTTAAATGCAAAAATTGAACTAACTCCTATGGCTCCAGCACATAGCGAGTTTCTAAATCAACTACCTATCCGAAGACAACTCAAACTAGATTCGCAATCAACCAAACATATGCAACCAAAATAAGTCTCTCACCAATCCCAAGTTGTCTTTCACGCAAGTAGTTGGGTAACTTCCAAATGATTAACGCTTTATCCCATCTTACATAGGACATTGAGTTAGATCATTCATCTTAGAAATAATGGCCAACCCTTTGCCTTAGTTATACACGAACAGGTTGAACAACTACTACAATCTTCATTGGGCATATAACTAAATCATTCATCGTAAGAACGAATGTCTAATCATCCCTGAACTTTTTAATAGCCAAGATATATCTGAGCTTAATGTTCAAAGTGGGGGTACGACTGAGCCATTCATCTTTAAAAAAATGCTCAGTAGGCCCAGGTTACCTTCAGTTATAACTCTTAATCATTCTCTCTTGTTAGACCATTCATCTTACAACCCATGTTCAAGCCTTGTTCATATATATATACATATATATAAAAATGTAAAAACCCTATTCTTAGTTCCCATTAGGTGTGTGTAGCCTCAGACTGCTACGCCTTTTGGAATGAACCTCCATCAGAAAAAACACGCAAAGAGTTGAGTCATTCATCTTAGAAACAATGTTCAACCCATTTTTTCTTAGTACAAAAAAAAGCAGAGTACCCTGGGTCATTCATCTTAGAAACAATGCCCAAAGCCTGTTCAGAAACCACACAAAAACAAACAACGACCAGACCATTCATCTTAGAAACAATGCCCGACCCTAAAGTTCAAGCATCTCCATAAAAACAACAACCAGACCATTCATCTTAGAAAAATTGTCTGGTTGTCAAAGAAACATAGCAACCACTCGTGGTTAATAGGTGGTGTCATTTTCGATAAAATTTTCACCGAAACTACCATATTTCCCTGAATTTTTGCTTTTTTTTATTTTGCTTTTTTTGTCAGATATGTATAAGCTTTAGGGTATATCTGTGTTCAGTTTCGGCGTATTTGGATGAGTAACGAAAAAGTTAGCAAAAACACCGAATTCGAGAAACGTTTTGGCGAACTTTGAAAGCTACTTCGAATAGGGTTTTATAATGATGTTCAATTTTTTTTTTTTTTCTTTTGCCTGTTTGTTTTTTTGGTGTTTGTATTGTAAGCCCGCATAGTTCGTTTACAAAAGTTTCGACGACATTGCTTGTAGTGATGCGGCGAAAAACCCCGAATTTTGGGCCTTCCATTAACAGCGTGTCATAGCAACCAAACCATTCTGCTTAGAAACAAGTAAGAAACATAGCACTAGGTCATTCTGCTTAGAAACAATGCCAGTCTTTGGTTGAACTTGTCAGACACATGAATACTTCATTTCTCCCACCTTCCCCCAATTCATCCCTTAGTCTGATCTCAATCACAAAAGAAAATTGAGATTCACGCATGCATTCCTTTCAGTTGATCTGATTAAGTTCTGACAAGAAATAAGAATCATGGGGGAACGCATGCATACCTCTCAGACAAACTAAACAGATGTAGTAGTAGGGGCATAGTGGGCTCACAAAGGAAAAAAAAGTTATACCTGAAGATTCCCTGCCTCGCCTAGTTTCCGATAGAGCTCCCCCAATCTATGGGGCGAACTTCCCATAGCGGCCTTCCCACTGATTACAGATTTCCAATCCCACCTACCGCCTTCCTCTCGTAACCAATAGATTAGACTACGTGTAAATAGGACAAAAGATGAGACATTAAGTCACTCAGATTCAAAAGAGTTGCGCTCAAAGAGGGCCTTGAAACCTTGAGGGTCTCGCAATGGTGGCCAAAAGTGTTGTAAGGAGGTTGCACCATGGTCAAAATGCGGAGCAGTGGTCCTTTTCCGAGCCTCCAAGCTGCAACAACAAACCCCTTGCAAAGTTTGATCACCCCCTCAAATCGAGTGTCGTTCTCCCTGACCAAACTGTCGCTATGCAGCCTAGAAAGGTTGTGCTCACATAGAGCACACCCCCTGTGCTCTCTTAAAAATGCAAGCAGAATGCTACAAAACTGGACAAAAAAATATTGTGCGCAATGGCAAGGTACCATGGCAGTGCACAACACCAAACACAAATGCCACAGTGTCGCACTCAACGATACATAGCGCGAAACACATCGACACAACAACGCAAAACAAAAGCAGTAGTAAAAAAAAGAAAAGAAACAACATAGTTTCCCTCCTTTTTTCTCCTTGCGAGTCGGTATCTGATCGTACTAACAACTGGATTTGGTCAGTAGCGACGACCACCGGATGAAAAAGGTAAGCTCTACTCCTCCATCGCACGAGTCTGCCTGTTACTTCTTCAATGTGCCTGGCCCCACCGCAGGCACGACCATTATCTGGCCCATGCGAGATCGAACGACATCAGCATGTCGTCGAATCATTCGTAAATCAAAACTATTTTATGTTGGTCACCGCTGGATTCAAACTCACATCTGTAATTCAACATTTTTATATGTGCATCACCTGAGCAGCCTACCAATGTACAAAATGAAAAGGAATCTTCCACAAGAACGTAGGAAGATACACCGCAACAGACAAATACAAAATGAAAGAGAACCCAATGTGAATATGGACCAAGGAGTTGTCAAGTGCAAATATCGCCCCGTGCACGCACAAGATTGAGGGAGATTTTCGTCCATAGGATGAGCAAGATGGGAATGAATCTATCAGTCTCCAACCATGCGCGTAAAGAGATAGAGAGAGGCTACTTCCATCGATGGAATGAGTGAAATCGGAATGAATTTTCCGCTAGAACCTGGGAAAGGACATCGTCACCAACATATGAGTGTCACCTCCTTTTCCTCCCGGTGCTTAAACTCCCACTTCCTCTTTTCACGAACATGCGCAAGTTGGCACCTCAGCACGACTTTCAGTCCATCCCACATCGGCAGGTGAGTGCTCCTTCACTCTCCTCGTTTTGCTGCGCTCACCTTTTTCTCGTGAATTCTCTCTTTCTCTCTCTCTCCCTCTCTCTTTGCAGCAGGCACAGCCTCAATGCGTGATCGCACCTGCCCGTAGTCACGACCAAGATCGTCCAAAGTCACCAGGGAGTAGCAGCGGGGAGAAGATTGCAAACGGTGTAACGAACTGTATGATGACGAGCTCGAGGAGCCGGTCGATCGCCCCCTCATCATACGTGCAAAATAAGAATGAATATTCCACTAAAACATGGGAAGATACAACGTGCATTCCTCACCGTTGCCAAGCCCTCTTGTGCCACGCACCCCTTCCTCCTCGAGCTACTTTTCTTCCATTGCCTTTCACCATCGTCTCATTCCCTCTCTTAAAACCCGAACCACCAAACTAACGCTAGGCTATTTGTCAGAGGGAACAAGATCCCAGGATCGAGCTCCCTTTTGCTCGCCATCGTTAAACCACCAGTTCAAATACCCCTACTATTCACCAAAACGCAGTACACTACAACCGTGGCAAGATGAACAGTGCTCCGGCATGGCACAGGTTCGGAGGGAAAAGGCTGGTGGGCCCAAAAAGACAAGATTGAAAGCGAGATTGGGAAAATAAAAGACGACAAATGAGAAAAAATTGGGCAGTCCGGGCAAACGTCCTGCCTTGCTGGCAAGGCGCTAATCTTAGAAAGAAACAAACCCAAAAAAAAAAAAGGAAAGCAAATACAGATTGGGACGTAACATCCATCCGAGACATTCTCAGACGTAGTAATGTGAGTATGCCTTGAGTGAGGGCATTCCCAAGAATGTAAATAGGGGAAAAAATAAAAAAAATAAAAAGGAATGAAAGATATGGCCATGATAGAGGTCAGATACTGTCTCGACAGTACTAGTGTGAGTATGCCCTCAGTGAGGGCCTTTCTTGAGAACGTGGAATACGCCTGCCAGTACCCTGAGATTTCTCTTTTCAGCCTGTTACTGTAGTAGTGAGGCTCGAAAACGTGCGACTTTTGGTTCCTCAATTTAGCTTTGTGTGAAGTGGTGGTTTAAAGGGATAGTTCGAAGCCTCTCCGATCATATCAAGGCTAGTTCCCACCAAGCTTCCTATCATCGAAGCAACTAATAGTAGACCTGAGAGTCGAAACAGGCATTGCCATTCGACTCGTAATGCCAAAAAAAACCCGATTAAAAACCTCGCTCGCTCGTTTTCACTAAGAAACGGGCAAGTTTACTACTCTTCCTTCTCATTCTTTTCTCCTCTGTTCCCTGCTTTGCTGTTGACGTCAACCGGATCGCGTTATGCGATCCCACAACATTCTAACCCACGAAGCGTATATACACTCGGAACAAAAATAAATGAATAAATAAATAAATAAAACTTTCTCCTTATTTTTACGTCTCCCCCTTGCGCTGGGGCTACCCTAATCTTCTTCGTATCGTTCCGATTTAACGGATGTCCCGAAGGACTATACCGGCGCCATAGGGAAACGCCATCATTGAACTGACCGGCCCAAAGTAAGGAAGAATTGCAAAATTCTACTCATCTCTGCTTTTAGTGGGGTTCGAACACATGTCTATATTTCAACAATTTGTGGTTGTACCAACTGAGCATACCACTCTCGAAACCAAACGCTGGGTTCGTACCAGTCCCGCCTATATCGTCCTAATTTTAACAGATGTCCCGAAGGACAAGGCCAGGGTCGCGTCCCCGAGATATCATGGAGGAACCGACCGGTCCCAGGAAGTTCCGAATGATTTTAATCTGGCCATATGATTGCATCTGGTTTCGAACTTGGATCTCTATTTCAGTAGTTCATGGGTGTACCAGCTGAGCTACGCCTGTTGGTACCATGCCCGGTCCCGTTCCAACATCGGTACCGCGCCCCAAAGGAGTGGAGCTACAAAATAATAATAATAATAATAATAATAATAATAATAATAATAATACTATAATAGTAATAATAATAATAATAATAAAAAAAAAGGAAAGATTTGGGACTATCGGCATACCTTTGTTCCACCAGTCGGCCCTGAAGCTGGGGCCGGCAACAAAACTGAGGGCGATGGTCCTGCCAAACCCCCAAGCCCTTGGCTCCTTGAAGCTCCTCCACCTCGCTTTCGTCGCGGCCTATCAGCCTCAATCACTGTATCTGCCGCAACACCATAACCAATAGTGATATGGCCAAGGTTGTTACTAACACTTGTGAAAACCCATATGAACAGGTTCCGCACACTGTGCGGTCTCACCAAAGTGCCCCAAAGTCACACCTTGGCCTACCGTTCAATATCCACGAGCGCCGTACGCACCATTCCCTATGTCAAAGTTGCGCCTTTACCGTTTTTGCGGCGAAGACTCAAACTTTGTCTACGGTAACTCCGTTTACGGATGCCCTTGTCGAGGCTGTGAGGAATTCCTACCGGCGCACAAACACCACAAAATGCCTTATTGTACTACACACTATGCAGACCCCAAAGTCCTTTCAAAATAAAATAAAATAATCGCCTCTAAAAATTCAAGGGACCGGTAGTGAAACATGACGACTGTTGTGGCAATACCGGCTCCATGTATGTACACGCCCTGCAAACAGGCGTATCAACCAAAGGAATAATCCTTAATCCTAGTTTAATCAAATACGAGAAGTTGGCCGACAAACTGTGTTGGTTTTGTAATATCAACAAGAAAAATCATGCGGCCTCAAATCCGTGCGCCCATGCACTCCCTATTCTTCCTCTGAATACCCAATTATTCCGAAGATAAAATCGGTCGCATCTCACACGACGCACCCTACTTTCAATTCAATGTTTCGAACCAAAACTTGTTTCTGTTACTTGAAAAAAACAGGGCGGATACCCTTGTAAGGGTATTTGCACTGACAACGGTTACAGTCTGCGGAGAGGTGAAAGAGTAGATAGGCAGTGTGAGGTATTAGCAAAGCAGATGAACTAGAGAAAAGAGAGTAACTTGAGTCAATCAAGAGAGACCTGCAAGCTCTACGTTCTTAGCGTCAAACACTGTCTCGCTAAGCCAATGTCATGGTCACAAAGAGGGAACGAGCGAGGATAAGGTGGTAATTGGTGTGCGAGAGCTTGCAAAGTTGCTCGCAGAGTCGGTTGTCAAGCCATAGTTGGGGAGTGATAGACGGGGCGCTGTTGAGTGTTGCACGATGTGATGTTGCCCACGACGGGCAACGTTGAAAGCACGAATGTTCGAAGTTGTCTCGGACTGGAGGACATACAGACGGGGCGGTCGTTGGGCCTCGATGCGAGATTGGGCGGGCCAACAACTGGGGACATGGAGGAGACCATTGCAGCTGCGTGACAACTCCCAAGTGATATGGCGGCCACGCAAAAGAGGAGACCATTGCAGCTGCGTGACAACTCCCAAGTGATATGGCAGCCACGCAAAAGAAGTTGCACTCGCCTGCTGTCCAACCTGTCATGCCTCTGTGAAGCCATCTCTCCCGGGGGTGTCGTGTCGTCGTCGGCCTGTGCTCCGTCCCTTGCCCCCTCCACGCCCTGTGCACGGGACGCTCGTGAGAGTCCCAAGCCCTTAAAGAACCCCGTTCATTTCTTTGAACGGCGTTCAAATTCTTCAGAACGCCACGCAAAAAAAAATTGAACGTCGTTCGACCGCTGGTTCCACAGTGTCCAACGACACACGCGTTTATGCGTGCTGTTCAATAACGCAGGGCCCTCTTATGCGGACCTCCACTGGTGATGGAGGAGGGAGGGCCTGTTTTTTGTCCTTTTTTTCATATTTTTTTTCTTTGTCATTTCTAGTTTTTTTTTTTTTTTTTTTTTCCTGTTACCTCCGCGCTCACGGCCCGTCCCACACCCCCGACAACCCCCTCCCTGCAGCGCCCCAGCCCCCTGATGCAGCTGGAACCTAACCACGGAATTGAACTCCGCGTTCCAGCGTATTCATTGAATATCAGCGGCAGGGAGCCCATAGTGAGCACACTAGCCTCGCTATGAGAGGTTGAGTGTGAACATGCTCACTGGGTTCCGTCAGGTGGTGGGCTATGCCTTGGGCCCTGTAGGCACAACTGGGAGGCAACCGCAGTGTTGCCTGTGCGACAAGCTGTCCAGGCAGCAGTTCACATGGGACCTATCTGCACTGCGGCCTTCTAAGTTCTCATTTGAATATTTGCTACTACCACCAAGATCTGCACCAGGACCGCTTCACTTAGTCCAAGCTGCAGGTTTCGCAAGGGGGCCCGCGCCCCCTTACTCACTGAAGTGCTGGAATCGCCCTGGCGATCGTGTATAGGTCTTGCACTTTGGTGCTGCTCAATCCAAGGCTGATCGGCTCAACACGCGTGATGCTATGCACTCCTTAGCGGACGTCGGCTTCCGAAGACCTCCGTCCTATTGTCTATACCAAGAGACATCCCTTTGTGGTGTCTGAGTTAGCTCACAGTTGGTGCAGAGGACAAGGGGCGGGCAGCGTAGGGAAGGAAAAAGAAAACGGGATGCATCTAGACGCGGGTTGTGCCATGTGCATGCAGAGAAGGGGGGCGGGCTATGGCGGAAGTAGGCAGGAGTGAATGGAAGCAGAAAGTGAAGATCACACCCGTTCCTCGATGGAAACGGACGAATGAAGGCTCGTTTCCAAATTTTATGATAGGGCGAGGTGAATGGCGAGGTTAGTTTTGCTAGGATCAGTAGCATGAGGGTTACATAAGAAAGTGATTGTGCGGAGAGTGTCAGGAAGGAAGACGAACAGGAGTGAAAATTAGTTTTACTTGGCCGTTTCTCGGCCGTTTTCGACAAACAAAGATGCAAACCTGGGGTTCTTGGACCGGGCGACTTCAATGGTAGTATTAGTTTTGGCAATGGATTAGTAGACCGGGAGGTAGGAGAGAAAGTGATCGTGGTGAAGGTCGAAGGGTGTGCCCCGCTCGTTGCTCAGTGAAAACGAACGGGGGAAGGCGGTAGATAGGGGTTTTTAACCCCGGGTGAATGCGAATCCGAGGTTAGATTAGCAGGAGAATTAGTGTAGGAAGCGTTTAGTGAGAAAAAGTGTGCACGGGAAGCCTGGGCTATGGAAGAAGAAGATAGCAAAACAAAGTCGTATGCTCCCGTTCCCTAACGGATTCCGGCAAGGTGAAAGCCGAATCAAATGTTTTGGGTGGGGGCGAGGTAGACTGTGGAGTTAGTTTTCAGTGTTAAGGGGTAGGTTTTGGGATTTGACAGATAGGGGTTGCGCTCGAGGGAGGAGTGAGTTCGAGACTTCATGTATTTGGCCGTTTTCCTGTGACAGATTCGTTTTGTTTTTTCATTTGCCTATACTAACGTTGGAAGTAGCCTCTCTCAAACTCGGGGCGCATAGTGTTTGGTCGGATTCTAACGGGAGGTTCGCTATCACTCTGCGCAGCCGGTGTTACAGGATTATAGTAGGATGTGTGTGTCAGTGCTCCATTGAGAGGACAGGAGAAAGTGGCAACATAGYCGAGGAGAAGGCATCARCCTGTCTCTTATACACATCTAGATGTGTATAAGAGACAGGCTTTATAGTAGGATGTGTGTGTCAGTGCTCCATTGAGAGGACAGGAGAAAGTGGCAACATAGCCGAGGAGAAGGCATCAGCAGAGTGAAAGAATGAGTGAGAGAGAGAGAGGGGGGGGGGGGGGGGGGGAAGGATCCGCCCGCACCCTACCGTTGGAATCGGCTCCGGAGGTAGAACGACAAATGCGGGTGAACCGAATGTAGTATCCAGGGCAGAACTGGCGATGCGAGATGAACCTACAATCGGACTATGATGCCAAACTAATCGCTCGTCCCCACCTCGCTAATAGTATGTACCGACCCCTATTCTAGCAAGAGATTCATTCCAAAAATTGCACGTCCTATCGATGGGAGTAACATGAGGTAGGGTGAAGGCGTAGAGACTTACCCGCTTACAGAGAGGCAGCTCATCCCGTCGATCGAAGAACCAACCGCAACGAGCCTCGAAGGTGGAGACCTACATTCTAGCAGGTGTGTCGTTCACACGGAAGGCGAAAGTTGTGAAACCAACAACGAGGTTGTGAACTTACCTACTGGATGGTGCAACGCTCGTCCTGTCCGACAGAAGCTGCAGCCGAAGAACCACGGGAGATGCAGACTTGCCTTTTCAGCCGGAGCGCCGCCCATCTCACCTGTTGAACAGAGGACTGGTAGGGCGCTCATCCCATAGAACAAAGCAGCGGCAAAAGAGCTGCAGGCGAGAAGACTGCGTGTTGGCCCAAAAACGCTATCCATCTTGTTGGTTGAGGCAGTAGTGGGCGAGGGAGACAAGCATGCTTGTTAGCATGAGTGTCGCTCATCCTGCCAGGCGGGACAGCAAGAGCCAGGGAGGATGGTTGTTGTGGGCGTAAGACCGCGGGGACCTACTGTTAGCTGTTTAGACTGGAGGCTACTGTTGCAAGTCCGATCTGCATACGTCGACCTTAGGGGATTACCGATAGATGTAAGGACCTCGCTGGTGGGCGCCGAAACAGTGACTAGGCCTGATTGGTTTGTTGCTGCAACTTGCTTCATCCGCTGCTGTATCAAATGTTGTGGTTCTTCACAAAGTTACGGTAGTAGCCGGTCATACCTAAGAAAGACCTCATCTCAGTCACAGACTGAGGACGCGGCCAGTCACAAATCCTGCCCACCTTCGCGTCATCGGGCTTCAGACCCTCCGCGGAAATCTCATGACCCAAGTACATGATGCGGTTGCGGCCAAACTCACACTTCTACTAAAGATAAGTATGTCATCGAGGTACACGATGACAAACTTGTCCAAGTAGTCACGAAAGATCCGATTCATAGCGTGCTGAAAGGCAGGAGCATTGCAAAGGCCGAAAGGCATCACCACAAAAACTGTGGTTTTGTGTTGATCCTCAGGCCGGATTGCAATATGATGCTACCCGGACTTCAGATCTATCTTACTGAAGTACCGACACCCTTGCACTCTATCTAACAAGTCGTCGATGCGCGGTAGGGGCTCTCTATTCTTGACAGTGATGGCATTGAAGGCCCTATAGTCAAGGGAACACTGAGGCCACACACATGCATCCGTGGGACTCGGTCAGACTACTAGCTTTGAACTTTCGTAATTTGGCGGTCCCTCCATCTGGCAAAGTGTGTTTGACCACTTTTCGGTCCCAGTCAAACTGGGGCTGTGCAACATAGAGATAGTACTTACCTAACAGGATATCCATAGGGAGATCATCACTCACTAGGAACGAGACGCGATGTCTCAATTCCCCTCCCGCGTACGGGAAACAACACTCAACATCCTGGAGGTAGTGCGCTGTTTGTTGGCACAGGTAGACTCCACAGGTCGACTCAGGCGCTGCACTTGCCCCTGTAAGCGCAGCCTCTCAACGCACGCGCGACTAATGAAGTTTCGTGTCGAGCAAGTGTCATAATAGGCCCCAGCCTTGCGACCGCCAATGACCACCTCGCTGACGAACATCGCACCCTTAGGGGCTTTGGCTAATGTTCTCCAAGAAGCTAGCGGATCTGATCTAGACCACTCCTCCTCTAGCTCCTCTAAGGACTCGAACACATTCATCGAACAGAGGCTCGATTGGTCTGAACGTGTTTGCGGGACGACGATGGAGTCAGTAGCTTGGGCCATCTCTCGAGATGGTGAGGGTGTGTCCACCACCTCGACCATAGCAGGAACAACTACTATTCCTACTGGCCCGACGTGTTTCCCGGAGCGATGCCAGAACTGCTGGCTACATTGCTACCAACGGGAGCGGAGGATCCCAACGCCTGCCCCATCGTAGGTGGGATCTTTTCAGTCACCTTCTTATTTCGACACTTAAATTGGTTATGGCCATATTGGCCACAACGGATACAAGCCTGCCGTGTGTACCTGTCTCTCCACACGTCCTCTGTGAGACCCGCTTTCTCCCATGGAGCATTAGGGTCAACTTGACTCCTTGACCAGGAACCTCCTCGGTGTCTACCGGTCGCCTTACCTTTTTGAGCTACGGAAGCGACTATTCCACCCCCTGAAGCCTCTACGCTGCCAGCCTCTGAACCTTCTCCCGCCTGGAACTCGTCGTCCAACTCGATGGTAGAACCATCGTTGTCGACGAACATAATGCGGCCCTTCGCCTTCCAGTTGGTAGGCAATGACTTCTTCCTACCATCTGTCGTGGGATTACGTCCATGCCCTATCTTTGCTTCAAGATCTAGGTCCTTCTTGCTAAACGAAGGGAAGTTGTGCATGTTGATAATGGCCTCACCTGCCAACTGGTTCCTGAGAGGCATGGGAAAGCATCTCACGTAGGAGGTGAGTAATACCTGGGGGTCATAGCGCACCCCAGGGACACAGATCAAACGCTCTACTGGGTCAGTGGCCTCCCTTACTGACTTAAACTACCTTGTGTGCAGTGTCCGAATCGCGCCAGTGGCCTTTTGGGCCTCCTGAGGATCATGCCACCTGTCTTCCACCATCTTGAGAAAGTCCTCCAATTTATGTTGGGCCGCCCAAGCGCGGAAGTCATGACCGTATCCCTGTAAGTGCACTAAGCCGCTCAACCATCTTGCTGCACTACCCTCTAGGCAGGATGCAGCCATAAGCACTTCCTCGTGTGGCAAGGTAAGTTTACACTTAACATAGACTGTCACTGCCCTCAACCAAGTGTCCAGGTCCTCGCCCCTCTTATCCCTTGTAAACGGTTTAGGAGTGGCAATGGCCGTCTTTGGAACCCACTGACTTTGTCCCGGTACCTGCACCAATCCGGGCTGTGGACCCTATGCGCAGGCTGTTGTACTAGTTGTTGCTGGGGTTGTGTACCCTGCGGCTGTGCAGACTGTGAGACAGCAGGCTGCCCGCTTAAGGCAACCTGTCACGGAGGTTGGGTGAACACTGTCTGTACAAGAACCTGCAAACTAGGACCTGCTGAGAACCCGCCTGTCAAAGGCATACCCAGGGAAGCGGGCTGGACCGATGCTGGAGTTGTATATGGGGATACCCCAGTCACCGGTGGGACAAAAGGAGGAGGTTGTGGAACGGGCCAGGCACCTAGCGCGGACGGTGATGGCGCAGCTTGCGCTCGCCCGACCAATACGGCCAGACTCTGTTGAATGTCTTGAAGGAGGGCCATCTGGTGATCCTACATTTCTACCACATCTAGCAGGACAGACCGCAAAGGTCCTCACATCATCACTCATGAACGTTGTGTCCATCTCCTCTCACTCGCTAACGCCCGCTTGTCTCCGCTGCATCCTGACTCTTCTTCTAATCATTTTCTCTTTCTCTGCCTTAATCTCTCCTAATGCCTGCTGTAGCTGTGCCTCGCGAATCGCTGCTCGCTGTACGGCGACCTCCTCGGGGGTCAACACTATTGGCTGGCTTTCCATAACGCCGGTGGACTGACTCACGGTCTGTGCGACCGTTGACCCCACAGAACATGAACTACTAGCCTCAGAAGTTTGCTGCGCGGCAGTGGCCATGGATGCTGAGGTAGCGGCCTCGCTTGCGAATGCCCTGCTTGCCTCTGCGGCCCTAACTCTTCTCTGCTGCTGCTGCCTCTCTCTCTGTTGGCGGAACAAGCATCTGTCGCCCTCTGATCCTAATGCCAAATGGGCAATTGGGCGTCTGGCATAATGAAACTACCTACCGCAGCATAATGTACAGACCGACTTAAAATAAAATTATTAATAATCGATGGTTGAGTCAGAGTAGATACATTTGGGTTCAACAGGTAGGTTCAAATTCCTACAAATGAAACTATTTTGACTAGTTCGCAAACAAAAAGCACAGTGAACAGAATGCAATTCTAACTATGTTGTCTGTCAGATGTTACTGGTCGTGCGTGTCTGAAGGTGTGCACACGGCCCACCCCTGTGCCCCGAGTCCTACTGAGCTAGCCAATCCTAGCACATTGTTTATCCTCGCATGCAGCGAGCCTTACACTGATTGGCTGATCAAGAGGCTATTTAAGGACCGCCCCCAGGTGTCCGCAGGAATTATTTAACGTCGCAAACTGGACGATGATCACAATCAATGGTTTCCCCTGCCGGTGTTTATTTATAGACGCCCGGTTCTCGCCTCCCTCATAGGGTTGGCTTGCCCCTCAGAACTCATCTAACAACGCAGCGAGCCGAACAAAGGACAAGCAGCAAAGCATACGTGCTCTACTCCCGGTGGGTTGGCATGGTGACCGTTGTCGAGCGCATCGGCTCCCACCTTTTCTCAAAGGCGAGAGCCCTCCCGACCAAGTTACGCAGGAGTTAAACAAAACCCAAGAGACAACTTGGGAACGACGTAGAATAATCCCGCGAGCCGCCGGGATGGGCGCGGTCGCGTCGCTCCTTCGCCGCTCTAGCCGGGTGCGCCAGCTATACATCCCGCGGTCCCCTACAACAGGATAGGTTCCCACGGGGCAAAAGCTTTCGCACGTGGGTCAGTAGCTCGGTAGGGATACGCCCCACGCTTAGTTAACGCCAAGCGAACCCGAACGTCGTCCGTTCCTAGGACGCTGATCTCCTAGGTACGGAGCAAACGTCGGTCGACTAGGACGGTCTCAACCAAGCGTGAAACCCAACATTGATCCTAGTCCATTAGACACACTGTCAAAGGAAAGCTATAACAATCACACATAAATACTTCAAAAGGAATCGACCATAGTCGATACGAACATATATCCAATATGGAATGATAACTAAAAGAAATCAAATCTTCATTTAATACATCCATTATCACAAGATCAAAATCTAATCCGACCGCCTCAGGTAGAACACCACAAAGCAATCAAACAACCGCCAACAAGGAGTTGGCTATCAAAAATAACATTGACCCTGCCAATCATGGTAGTCGGACAACCTCTGTTTTGACATGATGAGACGTGTTGCCAAAGTCAATCATTTCAACCTACCGCCAACCTAAGATTATACACGCTCACACCAGTCTACATACTTTCTCAATCTTATCGGATGACAGACTACTTTGCGAATGATTCTTGATCAGGGGCATTGCTTGAAGTGTTGCATGCCTCTTCCTTTAGGAAGTGGTCTGAGGTACTCCTCCTCGCCCGCGCATAAGACTCAAATCCCAGAAATCGGACCGTCTCCACCGAATCGGCAAGTACCCCCCCGTAGAACGGTCCACTCTGGGTCGATAACAGGGTCGGCTCCTAAAGCAACGAACCCCCGCCCCAGATGCTTCCTAGAGAAAAAAAAATGTGTTCACCGCAAAAAAGTTTTAGTTATTCTGATTTCTCCTAAGTTTAGGGTAACTTGGACGAAAAAGAAATCAAAGGAGATAAAGAGTGAGAATCATTTGGACAGGTATAGGCAGATAAGATCTTTCGGGATAGAATGGGTCAATCCTTGGGAAAAGACAAAGTCTGATTATCTTCATCTTCATTATGTTCACAAGTTTTCCTTCACGACACCATTGAAATTATTCTCTTTAAGATTCAAGTACTTTCGTCATGCAGGCGGGTGAACGGTAGAAAGAGGACAATCCTTTTCTTCATCTCAAATAAGCATAATCAATCTTCTTCGCAAGCATCCTTCTATCTACCTACACAACATGCACAGAAAACAAGTTCAAAAGAAAACAGTACAGTCCCAGACTCATATCATACCTTCCCATTCGCATGCGTGACTCGCACAACTTCCTCTACCTTTCTTTCAAACATTCAAAAGTTCGGATTGTTCTCTGCAGGGTCAAGCAAAGTGTGGGTTCACACAGGTGTGAAGTGAAGTCTGAGTCATTCAACTGACTGACCTTGAGTGAAGTTTGATCCGGCCCACTCAAGAAAGCCTGAGTAATATTCCAATCAAAAAGAAAATGACCGTCGTAGAATATGCGGCTCACAACTCCACAAGTTGTGGCCTCTCTACTGAATAAAGGTCCGCATCCTCCACCAAGTGTCCGAATGAGCAGAGGCTAGATCACAAACAAACTGAAGTGAGATAACCCTCTGGAGGGTGTTCTCACAATCGAGTTTCCACGTGGTTCCAATGTTCGAGACAATCCCAATGCACTTCACCAAAAATTTGTCCCCCCACCCAATCGCAAGTCCACACCACCTCCGATCACCCTGTCCGCTCCCAATAGCCACACCAATATGTCAGTCCCGATCTCAAATATGTCCCACCTGGTCCTAAAATGGTCCCAGTTGGTCTCGATGCAGTCCCATGCCATCGCCGCAATACCAGATGGTTCAGATCTCAAAACTGCTTGCACTGCGCGCCACAAAAAAAAAAAAGGTGGCCCTGGTCCAAACCGCATGTGCCGCGAGCCTAAAAAAAAATAAAGATGTCCTTCCGACGCAACCGCAAGTGTCGCAACTCCAATAGCCACTTACGCGAGCACCTACTCACGCTCTTTTCATGCCGTCGGTCCACGCACCACTGCCACAACCCAATCATGCACCAGCGCAAGCCTAACCTCTAGGCCACATAGAGATCCACCATAACCATTGCGCACCACAAAAAAAACAACGGCAACTCCCACTCGTTGTATCGCCAAAACTGGTATCACGATCATCTAGCAGCACCACCGCCTGCCGTGGTGTCAAACAGACAACACTTTCCCACACAACCACATGAATGTTGATGCCAATGTTGACGCTGAGTGGTAAATCCAGCGGCACCTCCCTTCACAATGTTGTGCCGCCGCCAAATAAAATCAGCAGCATAATCCCACTGAAAAACGTTGTCGCCACCGTGCCAAAAATGGCAGTACTTCCCCACTGACAACGTCGCTGCCGCTGTGCCCAAAAAAAAACGGCAGCACTTCTGCACCACTGCCGTTAAAACCAGTGTTGCCGCCACAAAAATCCGGCAGCGCTTCCGCATCACTGCCAAAAAAATCACAGCTGCCGCCGAAAAAATTTCGGCAGCGGCCCCGCAGTACGTCAACAAAAACTGTCGTCGCTGCAAAACCGCGCAGCATTTCCCCCCACTCTCATTAAAACTATTGGCGCCGTGCGGCAAATCCGACGACACCTTCCCTTAAGAAGGTCTTGATGCTGCGTCAGCAGTCGAGCAGCGCCTTCCCTTTGGAAGGTTTTGATGCCGCAGCGACAGTTTGGCAGCACAACCCCACTAGAATAGGTGCCGCTTGCCGCACCGTCCGGACCCTGACGCAGCCTTACTACCGCAGCACCAGCCCACACTCGCATCACGCACAAGGGAGGGGCAAAAAGCTCCCAACCCTCAGCTATGGCTGCCTCCCTTCTCACTCTCCGTCTTTTTGCAGACCTCCACTCCACCAGCAGCACCTCCA